AAGTTTGTCATTTATATTTTTGAGTTCTTTGATTTCATTCTCAAAAATCAGGATTTTTTGCTTTATTTCATTGTTTTCTTTGGAAGCCTTTTTGAACATTCTTACCAAATCTTCTACAATGCAAACAACATCATTAAGAGTTAAAGGATCATTGGGAGAAGGTTCTTGATCACTTACCTCTTTTGATGTATCACTATCTTCAATGGCCATGAGACACAAGTTGGCCACTTCCTCCGTTTCCGAGTCTTCACTCCCGGAGCCATCGTTCTCCCAAGAAATGTAAGCACGTTGCTTCTTCGGTGCCCTCTTGTCCTTCTCGTTCTTGAACTTTGGGCACATTGGTTTGATGTGTCCAATTTCACCACACCCATAGCATTTGGGTGGAGTGTTCATCTTGGCTCCCTTCTTTAGCATCATCTTCTTGAATTTTCGGACAAAGAGTCCGAGGTCGGTGTCGTCGCAGTCATCATCTTCATCATCAACGTTGTTGTGGGTTGATGTTGTTGCGGGTAGAGCAATAGACCTTTTGTTCCTCTCTTCAACCACCTTTGAGAGTTTGGTGGTTTCGTAGGTAATAAGATTACCTCGAAGAGCATCATAGGTCGTTGTTTGTGTTGGAATGCATGAGTTCAACCCTTTCTGTGTTGTTAAGTGTTGACTCACAGGTTTTGATAATTGACAAACACAATTTATTCAAGTCAAGATCAAAGTGCTACAACGACAAACATGAAGACTAGAAGTGCCATTCCTTGAAGTATTCAAGAAGGTGCACAAGATTTTATTGGAGCCCGAGACGCGTTCGGAGCGCCTAACGGAGGACTCGGAGGAGTAGAAGATTTCCGAAGACTTTTTATTTATTTGAGTCGTAGGAATTTTTGTAAGGATGACAAAAATATCTTCTCTCCAAAATTATTTTTATGAGTTAAAATAAAAATTATATTTATTTTTGGAGTGAGTTGAAAAATCTTTTTAACTGTTCAAAATAGTTTTATTGAGTCAGTCACAAAAGGTGTGCCAAACATTTAGCAAATATTTATTTTGATAATATAAAATATTTTGGGTAAGCAAAAATATTTTATTCAAATATTTTTCGTGTACATCGTTTGACACACAAAATATTTTTAGGACTCAATTTCTACACCAAAATTCTTTATTTAATTCAAATTTTGAATTTGAATTATGTAGGTTGATTGGGGAGCCTTTTGATATGATTTCCTTGTCCAAAACAAAGCATTTAACTCCAAACATCCATCCCACTCGCACACATGCTTTGGGTCCTCGTGTTTGGGCTTTATCCGTCATTGGATCGATCCTTTCTTGTGGATCGATCATATTGCTTTGCGCTCAGGGATTCGGATCGATCCATCTACCTGGATCGATCCGCCGAAGGCTTGCGAAAATCCGTCTCATGGTTTTTGGTTCCAGAGGATCGATCCCCAGCCTTGGATCGATCCCCCGTGCTTTTGACACAAACTTATTTTCGATCCTTTACTCCAGGTGATCGATCCTCTCCCCTAGATCGATCCCCAACGGTCCAATCTGTCAAAATCAGCCTTCCCCACTTCCAACGGATTTATTTCTTTTTCCTCTATTTAAACACTCTTCCTTGGTCATTTTTTTAAGGAAGAAACACTCCAATACTCCCCATTCTTGAGGTGTTAATCCTCTATCAATCCTTCCTCAAATTTATATTATTTTGAGAGAAAATATTTGTTTTTAAGAGAGGTTTTTTGTCATCCATAGAGCTTTAATCTTTTCTCTTATCTACTCTTTTGAGAGCTATTGTTGAGAGGTTGAAGAAGATTGTTCTTCTTGTTGTTCAAGGCTTATGTGATTTAAGTCTTGGTTGTGAAGTCTTGTAGAGGGCATATCTACGAGCGGTTGTGTCGAGGCTTGTGGGATTCAAGTTCTCGAGTTGTAAACGGTTTGTTAAGCACTCGTAAGCTTAACGGAAGTAGTGGTAGCTTCGAGAGAGTCTCTCGGGGAACTGGACTAGCCACGAGGTGGTGAACCAGTATACATCGATGTGTTCTTTGCCTTCTCTATTTTATTTCCGCTGCACTTTCGTTTATCTTATTTAATCCTGCGAAAATCGGTAAACATTCTCAACAACTCTATTCACCCCCCCTCTAGAGTTGCACGCCTTGTCTAACAGTTTGGAAGTCACGACCTTCTTCGATTGCGTCCACCTTTGAACGCCATTTAGGGGATAGGCTTCGCAGCACCTTTCTCACGAGCTCTCGGTCAGTGTATGTCTTCCCAAGAAGATTGAGAGGATTGATGATGTTAGAGAATCTCTCAAACATTTCCTCAATCTTCTCATTTTCCTTCATTGAAAAGAGTTCATACTCGTGAGTGAGATGGTCAATTTTGGCCTCCCGAACCTGCGCGGTTCCTTCGTAGGTGACCTCCAATTTTTCCCACATTTGTTTTGCGGTTTCACACTGCGAGATTTTGCGGTAGTCATCCGCGTTAACACCGCAATAAATCATGTTTATTGCCTTTGCGTTGAGCTCCATCTTTTTGCAATCTTCGTCGGTGAACTCCTCTTCGGTTTTGGGAACATTGACTTCACCGACTTTCTTCATCGGGACTCCACAGCCGGTCTTCACAATTAACCACAGCTTGTAGTCGTTGGATTGGATAAAGATTCTCATCCTCTCCTTCCAATACGAGTAGTTGGTTCCATCGAACAACGGTGACCTCGTGGTTGATTGTCCCTCGTTAACTCCCGCGTTGAACATTCTTGATGCCATTTGATCTTTTAGTTCCTGAAAAAAAAATAACGTATTCGAAGAAACTTCCCGCTCCAATACCAATTGTTAGACAAATGTGCAACTCTAGAGGGAGGTGAATAGAGTTGTTTTCAAGAATGTGCGTTTTTCGCGTGTGTGAAATAATAAAATCGCAGGAATAAATAAAAAAAAGTAAGGGAAAGAAGAACACCGAGATTTATACTGGTTCACCACCTCGTGGCTAGTCCAGTCCTCCGAGAGACTCTCTCGAAAGTCCTACTAATCTTCAAGCTTCAACGAGTGCTTGAAAAACCGGTACAACTTGAAAACTTGAATCACACAAGCCTCACTTTCTTACAACAACAAGACTTGAGTCACACAAGTCTTAAGAACAACACTCAAATGAGATTGAGTTTACAACACAAGAATGAAAGCTCACACAATTGAGCAAAGTAGTGTTGAAGAATTAAAGCTCTAAGGATGACAACTTCTTTAGCACTCAAAGAAAATATTTCTAATTCTCAAAAATAATATTTTGATGAGGAAGATGAAGCAAAGGATGAATATAGCTCAAAGAATATTTTGGAGTGCAAGAGACGTTTTTTGAAATGAAGGAGAATGAGGGATTAAATAGGCTAAGGAAAAAAGATCCGTTGGAGCCACTGAAAAGAACTAAGAATAGGCGCCAGACAGAATTAATCGATTAAATTAGGGACTTTAATCGATTAAAGTGTACAGAAGCGAAAAGGCTTGAATGCAAAGGTGGAATTAATCGATTAAAAAAGAGAGAAAAATCGATTACCTTGCTCTGTTTAAACTAATCGATTAAATGGACAAATTTAATCGATTAAGTCTATTGGCCTGAGAAATCCAGCGCTGAGAAATTGGATCTAATCAATTATTTTAGATAAATTAATCGATTAAAGTGAAAAAATAATACACAAACATGAAGGGCTCAAGCCAAGTGCGATTGTAAGCCTTTGGCTTCTAACTTGTTGTTTGGGACAACGGGAATATCAAGGGACGCTCCTCCTATTCAATGAATTTGAGTATGGGAGAGAAAAAGAGTTCAAAAATTATTTTGTGTGTCAAACGATGTACACGAAAAATATTTAAATTATATTTTTCTTACCAAAAAAAAATTGTGTAATCTTAAAAAAAATGTTTTAAAGAAATTTTGACACACTTATTTTGAAACTGACTCACTAAAATATTTTAGACAGAGGAAAAGTAATTTTTCAACTGACTCAAAAATAATTATTTTTATCCCTCAGAAATTAATTCGTTTGCGCAGAAAATATTGTCATCCTTACAAAGATTCCTAGACTTAATAAAAAATTAAAAAGTCTTCGGAGTCTTCACTTCACTTCAAAAAAAAATCTGCGTAGGGGTGATCGTCGATTTTTATCGCCGTAAACTTCTTGATACCCTTCTTTGCTTTTCTCGATACAAAAATAAATTTTCGATCAGCTTGAAATTAATCATCCTGTTTGTCATTCATCAAAACAAAAAAATATTCCAGAAGAAATAGTAAAGGGGTTTGAACTCATGTCCAACAATTTCCCCCTTTTTGATAATGACAAACATAGTTGAGAAGGAGCAAAGTAAGAGTTCAAAAATTACTTCCTTTTCAGAATAATTTCCCCTGCAAGGTTAGAGAAGTGTAGAAAAAATAATCGGAGTAATAAGCGGAAAAACGATTTTTAAAAAATTTCTCAACTATCCTTCCTTCCCCCTTTTGGCATTATCAACCGATAACCTTCCCCCTTAAACAATGCCGGGATATTGAAGGAAAAAAAATTGGCAAGAGTTTTCTATAAAAGAGAACTCTTAGTAAAAATGCCACAAAGGGACAATATGTTCTAAATAAGAACAATATTGCCAAACCAACAATGATATCAATACACAATCAAAATTAATATCAACTAGCATCATTGAAAGGAACATCATCATCCACCGAAAGAGTCATAATAACATTAGCAAATAACAATGTATCATAGTGAGTCAAGATGGAAAGAAAATAATAATCAAAGAGAGTTCGCCGGACGAGCTCCTCCGCCAAAGCTGTGACGCGGGCCACGGTAGGAGCGAGATTGCTCAAGACGAGTCATCCTCTCGTTGAGCTGGCGAACGTCATCTCGGATGCACGTGAGAGTATCGAAGATCCTCTTCACCCAAGAAGGTTCCGGTGCTTCTTCTCTTGGCCTGAGAAATCCAGCGCTGAGAAATTGGATCTAATCAATTATTTTAGATAAATTAATCGATTAAAGTGAAAAAATAATGCGCAAACATGAAGGGCCCAAGCCAAGTGCGATTGGAAGCCTTTGGCTTCTAACTCGTTGTTTGGGACAACGGGAATATCAAGGGACGCTCCTCCTATTCAATGAATTTGAGTATGGGAGAGAAAAAGAGTCCAAAAATTATTTTCTGTGTCAAACGATGTACACGAAAAATATTTAAATTATATTTTTCTTACCAAAAAAAATTGTGTAATCTTAAAAAAAATGTTTTAAAGAAATTTTGACACACTTATTTTGAAACTGACTCACTAAAATATTTTAGACAGAGGAAAAGTAATTTTTCAACTGACTCAAAAATAATTATTTTTATCCCTCAGAAATTAATTCGTTTGTGCAGAAAATATTGTCATTCTTACAAAGATTCCTAGACTTAATAAAAAATAAAAAAGTCTTCGGAGTCTTCACTTCACTTCAAAAAACAAATCTGCGTAGGGGTGATCGTCGATTTTTATCGCCGTAAACTTCTTGATACCCTTCTTTGCTTTTCTCGATACGAAAATAAATTTTTGATCAGCTTGAAATTAATCATCCTGTTTGTCATTCATCAAAACAAAAAAATATTCCAGAAGAATTAGTAAAGGGGTTTGAACTCATGTCCAACAGTTTCAAATCTACCTACTCTCTAACTTTTGAACACAAGCCAAAAATGTACACATGTGTCTACATCTAGGACAAGAGGCAAATGGGAAAAATCAGCATGTTCCTATGGCGCTTTTTCAACAACCTACTGCCTTTCCCAAGGAACCTTCATAGAATGGGAATCATGGAAGATATACAATGTCCTTTTTGCATGGAGATGAATGTCGATGTCCATCATATTTTCCTTAGCTGCTCAACCATATCACCTATTTGGCAAGTATATTCTTTGGCTGTCAATGCACTTACGGCAAGAGGAAACTGAATGATACGGATAGTTTATTATGATATTTTAGTTAGTTATATTATTATCTAGTAGTTATTAATTATTATTTCTTGATGGCTTAGGGTTTTAGTATGAGCCCGAGCTCATTAGGTCAATTAGGTTATCTCCATTCTTTATATACTGTAATCCTTCGTTATTATTATTCAATCAATCAATAATCAAGAATTCTCTTAATCTCGTTCTCTCTTCTCTGGAGTCCAGAAACGCTCGAAGTTTTCCATTTGGAGCTTGAAGACGCTCGAAGTTCTTCCTATCCGATACCCTTTTCGTATCAAAGTTCTCTCGTTGAGAGAAATCCCCAAAAAAACAAAACAAAAAATCAAAGAAGTCGTCATCTAGCAGGGAACCATTAAAGTGGAGTTCCAAGGCTTGCCGCCGGCCTACCTCAAACCAGATCGCCGCCGTTAGATCGCGTGGTTCCGCCCCAAATCGCATGTTGCCCTGTTCTACCGCCGCCGGAAACCCATCTCCACCACCAGCCGCCTTGCAGATTGAAACTCTCATCGGCAAAGACGGCAACATCGGCATCTCCTTGCTGAAATCACGCCGTTGTCTCCACCAAATAGCTTTGCTGCTGACTAGATCTGCCTCAATTGTGGGCTAATTGATTCAATTAGCCACTGCCTTCAAGAGAAGGAAAAAAAGGGATCACTAAGACAAAATTTGGAAATTAGCAACATTGAGGAGTAACGCCATGACCCATGCATCATCCACTGGTATAGATCTCTGCAGCCAGGTTTGTGATATTGGCCAGGTGTTCGTGCAGGTGCAAAAAGTAATGGAAGATCGATTTGATCGGATAGATGCCGCGTTGTCGGAAATTCAAACTCACTTGGCAAAGTCTTCGGTCGGTAGCGTTAACGAAGTCACACATACACCCAAGCTGGAGATGCCCAAGAGTGATGGCTCCAAACCCGTGTGTTGGTTGCACTTGGTAAAAGAATACTTTGCTTATTATGAAATCCCCTTAGAGGATCGTTTGAAATGTGTGACCTCGATGTTGGAAGGGGCCGCTGCAGATTGGTTCCGTTGGCGTATGAATTACGGGCTAATTATCGATTGGGATGAGGGATCTGAGAAATTGAGTGCTGGAGCACACGTCGAGGATGACATATACAGTGGGTCTGATGTCATGGGGAAAGAGGGGGATACCCTTGGTGGAGAAGATGAAGCGAACTACAAGCTCGAGTGTACACCTTTTGCCGGAGACGTCGCAAAGGGCCAAACATTTAATTGTATCATCGACCCAAATAGTCAACACCCTCTTTCTTTAGTTTGGTCTCGCACAATCAGGATGTCTCCCTACCCCCTTATCATCAAGTGGGAGAATCGGGATTTGAAGGGAGCTGCTAGACATGTTATTTTTGGGTCTCACCCATATTTCCCACACTGCGCCCCAAAAGTCAAGCTGGGTAAAGATTGGTCAACAAGTGCACATCTTCTTTTGTTCATCACTTTGTCACCTATCCAAAAACATGAGTGGAAACCTCCACCTTGGGCTGTTCATTTACGTGGATACATACATACATCCATACGTACGTACATACATACATACATACATACATACATACATACATACATACATACATACATACATACATACATACATATGTGTGTGTGTGTGTGAGAGTTAGAAATGATTTATGTTAGGAAATATGAAAAGTTGTTTATTCAAATGACCATAATATATTTAATCAAATAGTTAGTGGATGAAGTAAACACTTCAGAGTTAATAATATAATGACATATCGTGACCAGGTATTGTCATGTTTTTTGCCAAGTGAATGAATAATAATAATAATAATAATAAAATATTATTATTAATAATAAAATATAACGACATACCCTGAGTTAATAATATTAATAATAATACAAGGTAATTAAAATAATAATAATCATAATTATATTCATAATAATAATAGTAATAACAATAATATTAACAATGATTAAGTACTCTAGCTAATTATTTAATCATATGTAATGTTATTATTACTATTATTTAATTGTGTATAACATTATAATAGTAATATTAGTAAATTATATGCAATGTTAAGTAGTGTAACATAAATTAATTAAATAACAATTATTAGATAATACTCCGTGGTGGATAAAGTATTAGCATTATTTTACAAAATTTTCTCAATTTTCTAATTTAATCTAAAAAGATTGCATGATTTGATCTAATTATATCTGATCTGGTCTGATTTTAATAAAAATAAGTAATAAATTGAAAAAACATAAATTGTGATTCAATCCATACAGCAATAAAAAAATTCGAGCAGAAAAACGTAAGAATCACTCATTCCAATTACATTTCCAGTCTGGTATCCAAACAACCATCTCATAGAACTGAATACATACCTATAAAAAGCCTAAATGTACAATTCATGGACTCCATAAATTATTACTCCGTATTTTTTTAAGTGTGTATCCTTTCAAAACCCAGAAGTTGATCTAGTCTACCCTGGCATAGACAGAAATGCTTACTTAGACAGATCTCTAACTACATCTGAATCCTGGGTGTATGCTGCAAAGGAAATCAAAGAAAGCACTTCTCCAACGAATGAAGACCATAGAGTGGCACAGAAGATTGGCACATACAGAACTTAAAAAGGACAGAGACAAGCCTTTGTTTGGCACGTAAAGCCTTTATATATCACACCGCCCAAGTCTTACCTTCCCTGAACAAGACCACTGAAAACTTGACTATTCCCCGCAAGTGTTGCTTCCCACTCCACCGACGACAAGAGGATCTGTGAAAGCGATATCACAACTTGCTTCATGTCTGGTCTTAGAATCGGGTCCTCATCCACACATTGCCTTGCTAGTGTTGCAACCTACAAAGCAAAGATTAACCGATTTAGTTAAATATATGCAGGTTGAACCAACTTGAAATGCCAAACAGTTTAATAAAAAATCAGCGAATGAATCTATAAACCTTGAAGAGACAATCGTAAGGGTACAAGTCCATCAAATTGGGATCAGCACAGTCCTTCAAGGAAGACATACTCATGGAGTCTGGGGAATTTTTCAGAGCTCCCAGCATCTGCATTTATCAGCAGAAATAATCAGGTCATCTCCCAAAGTATAATCATGTAATGGAAATACCAAGAAGCCAATACTTATATAAGGTCCCTTCCGTAAGCTAAGGTTTACACGTAAGAAATAACAACAATTTAAGAGCAAGAAAATACTCTATATATGTAAATAACTATGGCCCACATCATATTCACACAGTTTTTCGATAAATTAATATTCTGTTCCAACTTATATAGAATTCCTACAAGCATTCTTATAATATCCATAAAAAGTAAAGAAAAAAAGAGATAAGATTCCAAAGCTTGTAAGGTTAGGTGTGTCTTGGGGAAAAAATTATCTACACATCTCAAAAACACCAAAACCCCTTACAAAAATAACCAAAGAATCCTTCTAGAAACACCCTTATAAATAGGACTGGAGAGAGTAGTTCAATAGCAGGAAGCGATTAATGTCTCAAATATAGCAAGCCTTACAACAACAACAACAACAACAACAACCCAGTTGAATCCCACTATAGCAAGCCTTACAATAGATACCAAAGAGCGGCTTTCGGCCTTTCTAATAGCAAAGCCTTCGGATCGAGTAACAGCCTCTTTCCCTGATATCATCTCAAAAAGGACAACACCAAATGCATAAACATCGCTCTTAGTTGTTGCACGGCCATCTCTTAAGTATCTGCCAAATAGCCAGAAAAAGGGTAATAAGAGCTTACAATGTTCATTTCCAACCCATTGTTTACTGCTACTATGATCACTCACTCTGGGGCAACGTAACCATAAGTTCCAACCACTCTTGTGACTGAAGCTTCTCCTTCATTCGTTATTCCCACAAGTTTTGACAAACCAAAATCTGAAATCTGTGAAGAATTTGTAATTAAAATTGAATGGGAAGATTGCCAGAACATAGTGTGTGTGCAGAGGCGGACCCACCTTGAGTCCTATGGGGTCTCGGGACCCCACGGACCCCGGGTTAGGTCCATATAGGTATTAGGTATGTATAGACATTAATATATAAACAACGCTTGTCTAACATTAACTAGAAGCGTGTGTGGTCCAGCGGAAGAGTACACTGTTGCGCCTTACCCCTTCACCCCTGGACGGAGGTTCAATTCCCACTTCGGAGTTTTTTTTAGTCAATTTTTTTCTTTTTTGGAGTCAATTTTTTTCGTAATTAGCATCAAAACAACGTCGTTTTCCCTTCCCCTTTTTCTCTGTAAATTTCTCCTCTCTTCCCCAGTTCCCCAATTCTTTATTTTACACTCTTAATTTTGATTTTGGAACCCTAACAGCTTCTGCCGTTCTGACTTCCGCGAGACTGCGACCGCCCTCCAGGCCGCCAGGGACGGGCGACCTGCGTCATCTTCTTCCCGTCGGCAGCACTTCAGGCAGTCACTCTCCGGACTCCGTCACTCCCGCCAACAACTCAATTGTAACTGGTAAGGTAAAAACTTTTCTGTATTTAAAATTAATTTTTTATTTTTTATGGTAGTTTGAACTTTGAAGTTTGATATATGAATATATGATTAGTATTTAGTAATATATAATAATTTATACATTAAAGAATCAAAGATTTTTCTTCAATAAAAAATTGATTTAGGATTGCAAGTGATAAGTATTATTGTATTAATGTTCATTTTATGTCTAATTTACAGAATTTAAAATGCAAAGGTACTTAAAAAAGCTAGCCAAATTCAAAGATTCGGAGTCGAGTAGAATTGGTATGACTTTATTTATATGTATTCAAAAAGCTAGCCAAATTTAAATTCAAATTACGATATTGTTTTCGTATGACTTTATTTATATGTATTAATTATGGTATTCTTCAAATATTAGTTTTAATTTATTGTTAAATGCTATGACTTATGAAGTAGTTTGACATGAGAATGGGAGGTAGCCGGGTAGGGGACCCCATGGTCGTAAAATCCTGTGTGTGTGAGAGAGACAGAGAGAGAGGAACAGGGCTAGAACCTTTGCTCTAAAGGAGCCATCAAGCAGGATGTTACTTGTCTTTATATCGCGATGAACATAGTGAGGTTTGGTGTGCTCGTGAATGTATTCCAAACCTCTGGCAGCATCAAGTGCAATCTGAACCCTCATGATCCAGGAAAGTGATGTATGACCTATGAGGATGAATCAAAGAGAGAAGGATACTTAATTTGCCAGAAACAATCTTGCACCACTAGGTCAATTCAATCAATTGAACCAACCTTTATTATGAGGATCGTGTAAGTGGCTTCTGAGAGAGCCCTTCTGGGCATATTCATAAATAAGGAAGAGCTCGTCACTAGTGGTTGCATAACCAATCAACTCTACCTTGACATTCAAACCAAGAAAAGAAGTCAAGATCCAAAAATTGTCAAACGGGCTAAGCTCGAAATACAACAGCAGTGGGTATGCATAGAAAATTCAGCGTGCCTTACCAAATTTGTATGATGCACTTTGCAGAGAACTTTCATCTCTGCCATAAACTCTCTACTTTTAGTGGCAGTCATTCTTTTTATTGTAACCTCCTGGAATTTTCGTCCCCCATTAAATGTACCAAAAATATGTGAAGTGCAAACTAAGTATCAACAAAGTCAAAGGATAGAAAAATGACCTGATCACGTAGGAGGCCATAGTACACAGAACCATATGTTCCATCTCCAAGAAAGTTCGCATCTGAGAAGCCATCGGTAGAAGATAGAATCTCTTCGTATGTAAAAATGAGAGGCTTATCCATATCAAAGACATCAGTCCCTGTAACTGTAGGAAGACACACACCACACTGTCACATTTAAAGCTATTAAGAGTTTAGGACCAATCAAATTTCAAAAATTCAACGGGGAGAGAGGTGCAGACTAGCGAGTGTCAAAACAAATTAGAAACGCATAAGACAATGAGAAACAAACTACCACTTTCAACACTCCCCATGCACATTTAAGGTATACTGTTGCATCAAAACCCAAACCTTTTGGAATATTGTTCATTTGACGGTTACTACGTTCCCTGATAGGCTCTTTACAGTCCCCCAATTTCCAGCATTTATACGTTCCTGAATGACAACAAGAACTTGTGTGTTGGAGAATACGGAACTTGATAGATTTTTTCTGATCAGAATCTGCTCCATGGGTCTCAAGTTCTTCGGAAAAACAATGGGATGATCTCAAGGAAGTCAGAGATAAAATGATTATGACTATAAGGGCAAAGCCAACAGCTAAACCTCCAATTATCCACCAATATGGCACATGACGCTTATGATCTGACTGGTTTCCTGCAGAAAAAATTGAGTTTGTAGCCATTTCGCTTATGTAATCAGAAAGGAAGACTTTTATGATGCATCAACAGCCAACAGTGTGTGAGTATCCACAAGAAAAAACATAAACCTAGTAATACTTTAACACAAAAATCCAGCTCATTTCTTTTGCTACTTGCATTATTGAATATTGGTTTAATGGTTTCTATATAAAGATTAACCGGTAAACTGCCATTTATTTCATGGATCAGAATTTTTTAAAATAAAAATAACAACAAAGTAAATCCCACAAGATTTTGGAAACATCAATATCACAACTAACTCAACATAAAATTGGGTCCAAGTAAACTCCGGGCCTCATATTGAGGTAACAGTAGTAATTTCTAGTACAATATCAACAACAACAACCCAGTTAAATCCCACAAGAGTAGGGTCTGGGGAGGGTGTGTGTACGCAGACCTTACCCCTACTCGAAAGTAGAGAGGCTGTTTCCAAAGAGACCCCCGGCTCAACATCGAAAGTTGCATTACTTGACTAACTGCTTAGAGATGGAATAATGATAAAATGATTAGAGATCCATTTTGATTTATTCCATCACACCCCAAAGCCAAAAAATGGTGAAATTTTGGCTCCATCGGAGATGATGGAATAATGATAACTGACATGGAGTTTTTTTTTACAAAGTTTGTCAATGGAGTTATGGAGTAACATACTGTTGCCAATGAAGGGAACAAACATACCCAAATTACTATGATCAGATGGTGCTGGAACTGGAGCCAGAAGAGTATCATTTTTCACAGGATATGGCTCACCGGGGACTGAAAAATCATAATCAACAATAGAAAATATTCAATGAGACAAAAGGTTAATGATTATCTCTCCTCTTAATATGTCTTACCTAATGTACATAATAAGATCAATAACATGTTGCTTCCTTGAAAATGTACAGCACATTATGTCCGGGCTCTCAAATTAAACAAGTAACCCTAACAACGGATACCAAGATCTAGCTTTACTCAGTTTTTTTGCTGAATGAATGCTAAATTATGATTAATTTATCGCACTAGAATTATTAGTATCACAGCCGAACAATGTAATAATTCAAGAAGCAGGTGCTGAACAAAGGCTTAATAGCACTGTCACTGCACAATCAACACCCACATATACTCAAATCCCTAAAAGTCTCACTAGCAGACTTACCACAAGTCCACAAGCAAACATAATTTAGCATACTTAAAAAAATTATAAACAACAATAACAACAGAGCCTTTATCCCAAGTTATGTAGGGTCAGTTACATGAACCAAGAAGAGAATTATGATCAGTCATTAACTATCTTGAGAAGAACTTACTAAAGATGAATTACTCCATAAAATCAGCAACATTGTAACTGTACCTGAATTCAATGGTATGTAGTATAATGCACCAACTGTGACATTATCAGGATTTACAATCCCATTGACAGCCTCAATGTTATCCATGCTAACACCAAACCTACTAGATAGAGAATCCAAAGTATCCCCATCTTCCATCACATAGCTCATCAAGTAATTCCACAGCCCACTTGAGCACCCACACATAAGCTTCACAGAAACCACTGCCCCTTTTTTGGCCTCCCTGGTAACATTAGCCGGAAAGTAGGCCAGCCCATCATACGCATCAATCACCAAATTATACAAAGATCTATTGATCTTCCTAACCGTGAAAGTGGTACTAGTCAAGTACTGGTTGGTACCAGTAGCACAAGAACAGTTCTTCCTGATGAATACATACCCTCTTCTATTACCCTCTACAGTGATGTCATGCGGCAAAACATCAAACATGCTCTGGATCACAGGCAAAGTCGCATCCCGGCTGGGCTTGAAGGCCAAGAAAGAGCTGCATAAGCGCCCAGAGTCGGTGCAGTTAAGAGGTGTGGGCTGTGAAGAACACAAAGGGGGAGATTGGAGTATCACACACGCCAAATAAAAACCAATCAAGATTTTAGCTTTATGGATCATGGCTTGAGAAAAGATTGAATCTTTGGTGTATTCAGCTAAATGGATGGAAGGTAAATCAATGAAGAATGCACATTAGAGCAGCTTTAGAGAGAATCCCCGAAGTTGTGAGAGTTTAAAGAGTGTATGGAGAGAGTGGTAGCGGCTAGCTGGCCTCGCGCGGGGTAGTGGAGGCTGGAAGTGGGTATGGGACGAAGAGACCAGAGCATGTCTAGTTGACCCATGACGGATAAGACGACTGATCATCAGGTCTAGATCAGGTCTAGGTATATTGTTAAATTTACACTAGACAATTTGTTCTCAATTTTTTGACATGCCAATAAGGAACCGGTAAAAATACTTTCTCCTCCCTAAATCAAATTACTCTGGGTATATGTTTACTATTGATAAAGTTAAACTTTATTTACTATAGTTCCTTTTTTTATAGTCATTTGATAAAATAAAATAGTTATTTGACCACTAGTTTTATAGATTTTTTGATTATTATTTTAATATATAATGTTTATTTTTTAATTTTACACCATTTTTTATATAAAATGATTTGAAAATAATTTCTGTCAAATATCATAAACCGAAACAGGCGACGGATGGATAAGATTTGTTTGGTTGGTGAAAAATTCTTCAAGAAAATTTTAATTCTATTTTCCTACAGTTGGTAACATTAGTAGAATGAAAAAAAAATTCCGATGAAAATATTTTCTCCCAATGGGGGAGATATGATATCCGTTTGATAACAAAATATATTTTCCATTCTCCTTCTGTCCCGTCCCTCTGACACGTCCCCCACCCATGTCCACCCCCATAACTCTTTCCCTCCCGGTAGATTTGTCCATAGTCCCGTGATTCATGTTTATTTATGGACCTTAGCATTAATAACATAAAAAATTAGGCCTCTTGAAAAAAATAAAAGATCGACTTGCTAGCCCATAAAAATGTAAGAATATCTACATTTCACATGTGGACCTTAGGACCACGGAAAAATAATTTTTTCATCTCACCCACATCACCCCTAGTGCCCCTACCACCCACCACCCCCTACCTCGACCCCACATACACTCCTCTCCCTCATCCACACTCACCCTGCCCCATCTACCTTTGCCAACAATCCTACCCNGACTCACGACTTATCACTCAGCTTTGATGGAACACCTCGACTCGCATAATCCGATTTACGTGAATTAGCGGATCCCGACGTTTGCAATTTGGTAAAGTAACAATTCATAATTTAAAAAAAAGTAATATTGGTAGTAATTTAAAAATATTAAAAATATTAAAAATATAGTTTTTGTCAAACATGATGAAATAATTTTTGGCATAATATAATTAAAAGGTTACAGAAGCTAAATAAGATTCAACAGGTTTACAACTATGAGTACAAGTCTCGAAGTATTTTTAAAACACTAATAACAATCATGCATCTTTCTGCCAACTCCCCCGTCTCAACATCCTCCAAATTTGACTCCATAATTTTGATCACCCAGTCACAAAACAAAGGAAACTACACGCTCAGCGGAACTGCTAAATGGTAACACAATATAATATAGATTACTAAGAATAGTTCGTGAGCACATAATCACATTTATAACGGTCATTAATATCATTAAACTCATTTATTTAAGAAAAGTACGCATTATATTCTTTGTAAAATCTTAATTATATTTTCCAATATACGTCTTAGGTATGGTGATGTATAAAACATTTCTTCAATTATGAATATATAATCATGCGTATTCAAAAGTATTTATTAAAGGTCAAGATTATTATTACCAAACATTCATTGTTCATACTTTTGATTGGTCATTGTCTTTCGATAATGTTTCTTCACTTTATTATGTGAGCATCTCCAAAAGAGGCTAATCCATATCATCAAGTAAACCAACATTCTCAATTTCAAAAATCATGATACAGTAATAGTATCATCATTTTATTTTCAACCATTTATATTTATCCTCACATCATACTAAGCCGCTCTGCGTAGAGATAGACTTGATACGACTTTCTCTATCGGAGTTTGAGTCTGAGTTCCTGTCTCTTCAGGTTCAAAATTTATTCGGTGGTCTTTCTCAGTCTGGGTACGTACATACTCAACACTTAATATCGCCACATCTATTCAAGTCCATACTATCTATTCTAGAAATAATCTAAATTAAACCATTAAAAAATACTCCCTCCGTCCCAAAAAGTTTTACACATTTTGACTAAAGTGGAAATTAAGAGAAGGATAATTTTGTGTTGACTTTCCAAAAATAACCTTGATTTGATGTGTAAAAGTAGGATGTGATATGTAGATTATAAGGAAAAAGGTATGATGTGATAGGTAGGATTTGAAAAAGTAAGGGGTAAAAGTGGTTTTTAAATAAAAATGGGTAGGAGATTGTGGGATACAATTTTTTTGAAAGGTGTAAATCTTTTTGGGACGGAGGGAGTATCTTTTTTGTTATTTAGTAACACCTTCATAATCATCATATTTATGAGTTGGAGCATATAAAGTTTTAACATAAAGTCTGTATATTCAAATACTACAATTTGTTTAGCTCAAAACTTCTAATAATATCATTTTGGTTATTTACAACAATACTTAGCAATTATGGAATAACCTAGCCAATTTTAGTCTTGGAGATTTGGGGTTCGGGACAATCGACCGTTTGTGATCGTGGTCAACTGTGTCACCATCATCTCTGGAAGTATGTGACGGTTGACTGTTTGGAAATGTGGTTGACTGTGCAACACCCCAACCCTCATAACTCGAATATATAGGTTAGCAAATTGATTTGCTACTAAATTAGCATCCAAACACAACTCATTTTCAAAACAATTTAAAATCAATAATTCAAAACATAACATTACAATTCATCATAATAATAAAAGATAGTGTAGAAGATAAAGTGAATATTTAAATCACAACCTGGGAATCAAGCCCATAAAACTAACAAGTCATTTGAAAATAAATAAGAATTCAAAAAATCCAAAGATGCCCATGCACATCTCCTCGTCCTCATCACCCTCCAAGATTAGGTGCGTGTAACGCCCTAGAAACCGGTTTAGAAGTTATTCGCATATATATATATATATATATATATATATATATATATATATATATATATATATATAAGTATTATTTATTAAGGACAATCTATTCCTTTAAAGAATCAAAAGATAACTTTGAGATTTTAATCGTCTCAATATATAAATTAACTACTTTTATTTTATTAAAAAATAAGTGTAAAATAAAAAACATTGATTATATTATAATATGAATTATCATTACAATTTTCAAACATTATTATAAACTCAAAATCAAATTATTGATTTGAATTTTAAATCAAATCATAATTAATCAGATCAGATCCAATCAAATGAGATCTGATCAGATCAGATCCAATCAGATCAGACCAGATTAGATCTAATCAGATCAGATCAGACCAGATCAGATCAGAACTACAAAAAATCAAATCAGATTAGAAAAAATAAGTTGAACGGAACAGAGCCTTACATTAAAAGACTAATCCATATTAATTAATCAAAAGAATTAAGACGGACTAAGTGGAACTGATAAATGTTGGTGTATTGATTATAAAAGTTATATCGTTAGGTAGGGATTGACGAATCGAATACAAGGACACAAATGGATCTAAATTTGGAGCATGTTGCCCCGAAAAGTATAATTTTACACAGACACGCTATTTTCAATTAATAAGCACAAACCCTGGGATACAAATACACGTTTTATACGACGCCCCTATTTCAGATTCTTCTACTTCTCTAATTCAACACCGCCACTAGCCCTGCCACCTTCTCCGATCGATGGACGCCGACACCACACCAAGTCTGGTCTTCGTCTCTGGCAAGCGCGAATCCACGACAACGAGGACGAGAGGCGGTGTAAGTCCCAGCAACGACGATCCTCGAGAGCAACATCGACTAGCAAACCAACGATTGGCTTCTCCGGCAAGGACCCCAACGACGAAACCAGCCGGGGAACATGCAATAACATCTAGATAGCAGCTCTGACGCCGCCCTCTCAAAACCCAGGGACCCTGCAAACTCCGTCGGTTTCCTCTTCAAAATCGAGAATAAGTGAGGATACGTCAGGCGGGGTGACGCGGGTCGGGTAGCTCCTCCTACCACCATGACTTCCGACGATGGCAACAGTGGATATAGTATTACTTTGATGATAATAACAAGGACAAAAGTTATTTCCAAGTACTGCATCCGCTTCTTCCACGTCATATCTGCCTCTTAGAAGGTAATAAACTATTGTCTTATTGCTTAACTGTTTTTAGAGAGCTTATTGCTCGAATATTTGTATGGAACGTATTGGTCGAATAGTTGTGCTAAGCTGATTGCTCAAATATTAGTATGAAGCTTATTGCTTGAATGTCTATGTCAAGTTGACGGTTGGAATATCTGTGTTGAGCTACAAACTGTTGTTGATTATTGCGCTTATCGAGAAGCTAAAGACGAAGATAGGAATTCACACCTTGTAGATGAAACCTACTTACCATAAGGTGAACATTAGCATAAACTCTAACAACAAGATGTTAGGTAACAAATTAAAATAATGTAAGAATGAATGTACACACAGTAACATATCTTATCTGATATTCATTTATCTCGTTGATCACCGAAGTGGATAACCAAATTCTGAAGGGACTATAGACCTGGATGGACGAGAGAATCTTGTTTTGGTATCAAACGGGAATGGCCGTATAAAAAACAAGAAGAACTTGTTCAATAATTAAAGAAAATAATACTTACCACCAGCACATCGTAGTGTAATGTTGTGGCTGGATACTAACAAAAAAAACATGATGAATGATCTATCTAAAAAGACGTTACGTGTCGACGTACCTTGTTGACAAGATAAACTGAATGAAGCGAACTTAAAAGAAGTTACGACATTGACATGTGGATATGTGGTTGTCACTAGGCAAACTCATTATTGAAGGGCTTCTGACACGTTACAAAGTCTAAGTAGTAGGCATTGGTGATGCTGATAATGATAGTGATGACGATAGTAGAACGCCCCACTTACTCTCGTTAGTATGACTCAAAGAATTGTTAAAGAAATAACATCAATGAATCATAACAAACCAACCTTATCTTGACTATGTTGTTTGAGAATCTTAGATCACGACTCGCAAAAGAGCCAACCTACTCCGAGATCGATGAATGCACTGAATGTCGAATACATTACTGTTAATGTCGTGTCACAGAGCTGAATGTCACCTGAAACTAGAGGACAAACTGTTAGGCGTGTCGTAGCACCTACAAATTAATTTATTATTTCCTTAACTTTTAACCCCCTTTATGATTCAATATTCATCACAAAACCTATAGATAGGGCAAGTAAGGGTCGATCCCATGGGGAAAGATACTTTTTAGGCTATGAAAATCAGTTCACTTGTCACTTTTATTAAATAAAAACTAACTAATAAAATCTAAAACTAAAACTAAAAGATATGGGAGGGTTTGAATTATAATTCTAAATAGATAAAAATGCAAATAAAATAAAGATAAGGGTAACAGATAAGAGATACGAGAAAACCAAAGCAGCAAGCTCAAAAACAAACTCAAGGAGAAAACGAACACACAAACAAACACATAAATCAATCACACCTTTAAACTTTATAAAACATAGGCAATAATAATTCACTTAAACGATTTTGAAAACACTTATAATTTCTAATAGAAAATAAACTAAACAAATCTGACTAATCAATTAATTATCTCTTAATCCTGAAACTAAACTGCTAATTAAACTCAGGGTCAAGCTGAAGAAGAGATCCACCTGCGGTTCTTCCCTATTCTCCCTAATATACTCTATGTTAAGACCTGCCCTAACTCTAAACCCTACTATTCTTAACAACCCAAGGACCTTCCCCCAGATTTAATTAAAAATAGAGCATTAGGTTCTTTGGAAAACATCACTTGACAAATATGCAGTATACTATATCTATTTAACATAGCCAACTTGAAAACTCTGATTAATAAAAATCGGGTGTGAGCCAATTAAGTATTAACGAGGTGACACTTGTGTTTTAAAAATCTCAACTATAAACGTACTCAAGATCTTAAAACTGTCAATTGGAATTAGAGTTTAGGCGGCCGTCCTAAATTGATCTAATCAAGTTTAAACAAAGACCAATTTTCAAACACCTTTTCGAGTTTAGATTTAACAGTAGCATAGAGCTAAAATCTCTTCAAAGTCAAATTAATCCAACAAAATCAACCAAATCAAAGATTCAATCCTTTTTTGTCAAACAACTCGGCCTAAAAAGATTTTATAATTTCAGGAACAATAATAAATCAATAAATCAAATTTGAGAAATTCAATAGCAACACTCAAACAATTCAACACTTATAATATAACTTAAACATTCAACAAACTTGGAATTGAAAATAAACATATTTAAATACTCCCTCCGTCCATGTATGATCTTCCCATTACGTGTTACGAAGCTTGACCGACTTTATTTTCAATTCAATTTAATTGATTATAGGAGTAAAATTTTAAAATAAAATTTATATAATAATTAACTACATAAAAAGTTCTACAATACTAGAGATGACAAGAGTATATATTTTATGAAATTACTAGTAAAATTGAGCAAACAAACTGAGTAAAGTTTGACTCTGTGAATAGTGTCTGGAAGATCTATGGTGGACAGATGGAGTACTAGATTTTAAACTTATAAATTCATAAATTAACAAGTTCAAAATCCAAATTAAAGAGCATAAAATTGAAAAGGAAAAAGAATGCTCCCCTGACTGTCTTTTTTGTTGAGCCGTGCACAGATTCCCCGAACGATCCATGGCTTCCGTCCACTGCGCCGAAGCAGTTAACACCGCCGCCGGACCACATGTCGCCGTCGCACCATCACCGGACCTAGGGTCGGAACCCTAGGTCGACACCTGCTCTACTCCGATCTGTTCTCTCGTCTCTATCCGTCTCCCCCTTCAATCTCATCTCTATCTCTTCTTTTTATAATTGAATTTTGAAGATATTGAATTGGAGAAGAAGACTCTGCGCAATCCACCTCTTGGCACTTCTTTCCGTTTATTTCTTCCGTTTCGTGCGCGTGGAAGGAACACAACTTGTGTTCTTTTTTTCTTTTAATTTTTGTTTTCCTTTGCTTCAATTGTGGGATTTGTGGCTTGATCAATGGAGTATAATGGATTCAATAATGAATGTGGGTCAAATTGACTTGGCCCAATAATTCTTTCTAAATATGCATCCAACTTTGACATTTCTTCATTCTTTGTACACCTTATCTAAAAATTTGTATCAAGGTAATAAATAATACTTCCAAAATATTTGTAGAATATAAATATGCTCAAAATTATGCATTTTATGTATAAAATGTAAAAAATAGCCTTAAATGCTAAATATTACTAGAAAATATTAATATTTCGATATAAAATACACTAAAAGTATCTTGAAAGTCCTAAAAAGTGAGAGAATAAAATATGTTATTTTGTGACTCAACACAAACCTCTAAGTGCGTGCCAATAACGTATAACCATGATAAAGTTGTGAATGGCCCGAAAAGGGATAATAACGATAATCCTGAACGCTGAAGTACATTGGGTAAGCCGTCCAAGAACGATCCAATGAGGGTACTAAGCTGAATCCTCTAATTTTCTAGAACTTTTCATCTAGTTTATTACTACATAAGTTTTATATTAAAATTTTACTCCTATATTTAAATAAATTGAATTGAAAATAAAGTCGGTCAAGCCTCGTAACGCGCAATGGGAAGATCTTAGGTGGACGGAGGGAGTAGAAATTATTAATATTTTGATATAAAATGCACTAAAAGTATCTTGAAAGTTCTAAGAAGTGAGAGAATAAAATATGTTATTTTGTGACTCAACACAAACCTCTAATTGCGTGCCAATAACGTATAACGATGATAAAGTTGTGAATTGCCTGAAAAGGGATAATAACGATAATCCTAAACGCTGAAGTACATTGGGCAAGCCGGCCAAGAAAGATCCAATGATGGTACATTGGGTAAGCCGGCCATGACACAACCTCACGTAGACACTTTATTCGAGCGACTGAACTTATGTCACGATATAGACCTGAACATGAAGAATTGTTGAGAAGAATCTAGTGAATAACACCACGCAATTTACACAAACAAGGTAGGGCATATAACACACTCTTAGGGCACGATGAACTAAGGTACGCCTGACGAGACCGTATATCGATAATCACCGATGTTGTGGAACAGACATGCGTGACACGAAAGAATGCAAATGAAATGACATCGTTCGATTGACGAGTACAACACCGACGAGTGCAGCGTGTGACAATTAGATGACAGGTACAGAATCTAAATAGGCAATTAACATCACGTGAGCTGGGCAACGGATTGCATCGAGCAAATGCGAGACACAGATGACACACAAAGGAACGAATGTTGCTATGACTTTTGACAAGGTACCTTTGACATGCAAAACAAACTTGCCGATGAGGGATGAATCATGACGAAACTTATTCCGCAAGGAACGAGTCGAAAACTAACTATTCAATGTGCGATATCCCTCAAATAGAATCACGAACGTATGTAGATCGTATAATGAAGGGGTTCCAAAAGACTCGCTCGAGAAATGCATCGAAGATTAACAATCCCTATGAAGTAATTCTTGAAACACCTTGTCGAATGGGTGTGATTGTACGAACCTTGGGTGTGAATATCGTGACAAACGAACGGCGACTAATATTCCTGAACTGGTAAAGTTTATCTGTAATCTACAGTTATACATTGACTACACTGAGTATTCTCCACTTGGACCCATTAAAGGTGGTCAAACTTCTACACGTCAATGGGGATGGTATCTCCATAATGAATTGACAAAACCACTTTCTAAAATCAAGTGATGACATACCTGTGATGATAGCAATGCCTTTGGCCGCAAGAATTCTATGTAATAACATTGATGTTGAAGACTTGTCATATGGTCCAAAACAAATTAAAAATTTATAAATAACCTTAGCTAAACCCCAAAATATAATCAAATAAAAACTATAGCTGGGGCAAGTTAGGGTCGATCCCACATAGAAAGTTTGTACTTTTGAAATTAAATTAGCATGCACATACATTGCCACTAAAAAACCAATAAAAGCATACTACACATATGATAAGACTTATAATAAAACTTATAACTTAATAAATATAATAACTTATATTAGCAAAGAACTTATAATATAACTTATAAACTCAGAACAAATACTAAAGTATATAAAAGTAAATAAAGTATAAAAACTTATGTTGGGAAAAATATCATAGATTTTGATGATGATGTATTTAGAATGTAATAGGGACTTTAGGTCTCCCCCGATATTCAATGTAATTTTTCTTTTTAGAAATATTGTTAAAACCAAGTTCTTGAGATTTCCAATAAGGTTGTGATATTTCTTTAAGCGTTTTGATGCCTGAAGACCTAATCAAATTCAGTGATATGGAAATTGGATATCTTGATCGGAAATGCCAGAGACAAGTAAGGATTTCTCAAGCAGATGAAAATCCTCTGATCCGGAAGACTACATAAGAACCGGATGTCTCGCTACAACCCGCTGAAGGCTAAGTCATCCAAATCGGAAGACTAGCGCGGATCTCTTTCTCACCCGGAAGTCTGAGAATGACTCCTCCGGATTTGTCAGCTAAGAACCGGATGACTCAGGGAAGACCGGAATTCTCAAAAAGCGGACAAGTGAGAAAAGACTTAGAAAATTATCTAAGTCTTGAATGAAGAAATTCTACCCGTTGGTAAGGAAAAATCAATCTCTTGATTTTCAA